GACAAATGAACTGGGCAAAAATTTCTGAACCGCAGCAGATCTAGTTCTAAAATAAGACTCCATTGTGATGCTGTGGGCTGCCTTGCAGGGCAGTCCCCTCAGCCTGGTGTATTTTTAATCACAAATGCAAATTTATTTTTTTTTTTTATCCTAGGTGTATTTACATTTTTAGGACTCAGTTTGTGCATTTGCTCTTTGGTGGAGTGTATTTTTAGTGTCTCTTAACTGTGATGATTTCCTGGTAGCCAGATAAAGTTTGGAGTTCTGTGGAAACCTTTTCCCAAGCTGTTTCCTGTCACATTGGTTGAAAGCTGCCTCTTCCTCCAGGTGCTGCATTAGTAACTGGAATCCTGCTGCACACAGACGCCTATTGTCTGTTGTTTGTTCTGATATTTATTTAAGCTTATCCTTTATATTCCAAGGATTTCAAGTAAGCTTTTTTTTTTTGTTCAAAGAGAATTTTTAAGGTAAGCCAACTTGTTGAAACTGCTTTCTGAGAAATGTTAAAAATTATCTTTCTGCGCTGGTAAAACCTCTGCTTTTCTTCTTGACTAGATGGTTTGTGGGCTACTTGGAGTTTTCAAATTCTGATGCAATCTATAAAAACCCTAGTTAGGTATTACCAAGAAGTACATACAGTCATTTTTAATGACTAATTTTTTATATAATCTTACTTTTAATAAAACATGAAAGTGCAGGCTTTTGAGAGTTGGCAGACAGTAAATCTCATTTGGAACAGTGGGATTTTTTTCAAACACATGATCTTTCTATCATTGAGTGAAATACTGACTTCACATTCTAGTGAATCAGGACTTAATTTTTTATTGTAATTACTTTAATATGTCGTTAGTAAAAACAAATTGTTTTGTAAAGAGACTGTTAAATAAGAGTTTAAAAACATCTAGGACTGATAGTTTTCACTTGTTTTCCTTTCACTCTTCTGTGGAAGAAAGACTGTGTGCTCCTAGATCACTTATTCTACTTTTTTTCCCCCCAGGTTTTGCCAACACACTCTCCCCACCTGTCAGCAAACTACAGTGCAAGAGTGCCCTGCACATCCTCCCTTTTAGCATCAACATGTATTCTAAATTCTGTCAAGAATAATTTAAACATTTTTCAGGGAAACTGCATCCTTTGAAGCACTCCCTGGTGTCTTGTCTTCCTTTGATATTTTTAGTTGAAAAGGTCTGTAACGAGGCAGTTTGCAGTATAAGTTGCTAAGTCATAAAGCACTCAGAAAGCTGCTTGGCTGTCTGCCTTTCATTGTCTGTTTGTACGATTTTATTGTTCTGATTTTTGAAGGATTTTGGTCATTCAGTGAGCAGCCAGCCCACTGATAGGTTTTGAAGGTCTCACACGGTGCTCCCGCAGCCGAGTGATGATGTTCCAGTCCGGATGGATGCTCAGCAGGGTGGGCAAATGACCGGCTGGGTGGGAGGGTGGTGCTTTGTGGGTCATCCCTACCTGGGGGATGGGAGCAAAGCCAGAGCTCTATCCCAGAGGAGGAGATGGAGGGTTCTGGCACTGAGGGAGATGACCCTGGCTCTGTGGAAAAGCCTGGGGGTCCCATGGGCAGCATGCCAGAGGTGCCAGCCTGCAGCACATCAGGCAGCAGGGAAGGCCACAGCACCCTGGGCCATGTGAGTGGGAATGTGGCCAGGAGTTCAGGGAAAGGGATTATCCTCTACACAGCATGTCTTCATGCTGTGTCCAGTTTCAAGCTCTCCCAGCACAGGAGGAACATCAAAAACCAGCAGTGGGTTCAGGGAAGGACTGCTTGAAGGTTTGATATATGTAGCAAAAGCAAAAAAAACCAAAAACATAAAGAATACGTGTACGCATTTTAATGGTCTGGTTGGATGAGTCTACAAAAAGCAAATGAACTGTAGAGGGAGGGAAAAGGGGCATTTTTTTGTGTTCTCTGTGTCTTTCTCTCTGTGGACCAGATGCATTTATGAGTTCTACATCACATGAGATGTGAAGTTACATAATAAATTAATTGAAGGGAAGTAGATTGGTTGTGTATGAAAGCACCAGAAAGCCATCCATTTGGATAACTTGACATCTTTCATGTTGGGACT